CACTGCCACTGCCACTGCCACTGCTGCTGCTGCTGCTGCTGCTGCTGCTGCTGCTGATACTGCTACTGCTACTGCTACTGCTACTACGACGACGACTACTACTACTGCTACTGCTGCTCCATGTGAGAGACTTGCCAGGCAGACTCAGCACCAATCGTCATCATGGCCACGAACAGAGGGATCACCAACATCCGGGGCACCGACTACAAGAGCCCACACGGTGGCCCGATATTGGCTTCGATTGGGTCATCGGACTCGATTCTGGTTAGTTGACATTGACCCTGGTCGACTTTATTGTGAGGCTGCGCAGAAAAATCATGTGAGGAGATGAATGCTCTAGCAACTCTCTGAGGTATTCCTCTCGACTTGCTGGACCGCATGCTAATCATCTCGACTCAGCCGTGACCCGGCCGAGAGCTGGTGGGTTGCCAACTTATTTCGAAGTGTTCAGAAGACTGACTTCTAGCAGAAGGTACACGCAGAAGGAGATCCGAAAGATCATTGACATCCGAGCCGAGGACTGTGCTCGCTCGCTTTGTAAGAGTCTTACCATGCAAAACATCTCAGGTGCAAGTGACGGCCACAGAAGTAGGAGGAAGCACTAGCGGCAGTAGCAATAGACGCCGTAGCAGCAGCAGCAGGAGGAGGNNAGGAGGAGGAGTAGTCGTCGTCGTAGTGGCAGTAGCAGAGGAGTAGTAGTAGCAGCAGCAACAGTAGAATCAGCAGAAGCAGCAGTAGCGGTAGCGGCAGCAGTAGCAGTTGCAGTCGCAGTGGGAGCAGGAGCAGGAGCAGGAGGCAGCATGGCAGTAGCTCGTTGCCCGAGCTGTTGTGACGTCAGTTTTGTCTTGGTATTCGAGTTGTGGTTAGAATTGTCGCCGTCGTCGCCTTCGTAGCAGCAGTAGTCATCGTGGTTGTGGTTGTCGTCGTCGTCACCCCCTCGTCCTGGTATTTTTCGTCCTCGTTAGCGTACTCATCGTATCGTGCCGCAGTCACAGACGTCTCTGTACCAGCAGGAACAGTCAGTAACAGGAGCAGCCGCGGTTTTAAAGGCTTGGGTCTGGATGCTATGATGACAGATGTACTTCTCAGAAGCATGATCTTTGATCAGAGCCTCGTTGACGATCGCAATCTGTAAATTCGAGAAGGTTCTGTTGTCATCTCCACGAGTCCATGAGTCTTACGAATCCAGCTTGACAGAAACCGTCGTTTGTCTGGTCGTGGCTCGAACCGGCAGGTGTAGATTTCACACAGCGGCATGTTTTTTAGGGGATGATGCAAGCAGTGTGAGCCTTCCAACTCAGGCTTAGACCAGGTAGTGACAGATGTCAAAGTCATGATTTTGAGTCATGTTGGAGCATTCTTGGCGGTGTGCGAATCACAGTATCCCATGTCCATACTCAGACATCCTCAAGCCCGTTAGGCTTTATGCCAGCTGAGTCGAACCGCAAAACGGCAAGATGGTGGGACCAATTGCATCCGTCCTAGCAGGCATCTACGGCTGTGTTATCAGTGCTGTCTCACCCCATCAGAGCCAAAGTCCAGACGCTTGCCGCGAACGTAGTTGCGCACCGTGCCTTCCTCAGACTGCTATGAGCCTTGCACTGCAGGGCTTGCACGCTATTGCTCTCAGAACTCAGGTAGCGAAACTTTCCGAAATTCAAGCATGGCCAAGCCCTCAGATGTCGCGACTCTGAGGAGTGCGACTTACAGCGCGAATGAAAGCTCTGAGACTGAAGTCGTTTTGCGTGCAAACAGTGCAAACACTTCCTGTCCACTGAGGCTCCGATACCATGGTCGGAAGCAGACCCTTTCAGCATCTCGATGTATGCGCAGGCCGACCTGCATGTTCTAGCCATCTCCAGTCTGCTGGTTCATGGGGCTGCCCACGTTGAAAAACAGTCGTGCAGGACGAAACACAACCAATCGGGTTACTTCCAACCCAAATTCAAGCGCCCGGAGAGCCTAAAACAAATGCAGCCCCATGCATTGGGACGATTCACAGGTTCACGCACTGACTGCACAGGAGTCCGTGTACTGGAGCTGCCTCCAAGAAAACGAGACGCTAATGCGCCCGCTCCCGATTTGGCCCAGTTGGGCCAAAGTCCCTTGAGACTCGGAGGGCTTCCGGGCCTGGGAGCTGAGGCCTCTGCACGGACATGGTGGCTGCGGCAGCCAGGCGACACGTGGAGCTTTCACCCGAATTTGCACCAGATCCGTTCGGCTCTGCGCAGCTGCGCTCGCCTGCGCCAGGAGCAAGGATGCCGTGGAAGCACAGGTCGAAGAGCTCTGCAAGCTCTGCTGGGCTTCAGCCATGGAGGTACCGTCTTTGCTTGCGGGGAGCGATGCAAGCTTGTGCCGGATCCGAAGCTGTTGGAGGCGGTGGATTGCCACACGCTACTCATCGCTGCCAGAGCAGAGGCGAGCGCTGGTGAGCAGGGTGCTTGCAGATTTCGCCTGTAGATGCTTTCTGTGTAAAGTCTCGGAGCAGTCCGCATCCAGGTAGACCACTTAAAGCGCCGGCTATCGCGATGCAGCCTGGCCAAAACAAAACAGCTGGTCTTCCCGGAGGCACGATTTGCTCGGCACCCGCAATGGCGGCATGTGAGGGACATGGATTGCTGCACTTTGACATGTTGGCGCAGGATGAGCTGCAAGGTGCCAGCAGGCGAGGCCTCGACTGCTCAGAGTTGACAGTGCCCGCTTCGAAGTCAGAACAATGGAGGCCCTTCGACGGTCCCAGCTTCCTAGATCAGGACAGATGCTTCGGCTTGTGCGCATGCTGTCCGGCTCACACACCAGCGCATGTCAGTGACATGCAGGATCAGGGGGATCTGATCTTCAACGCTGTTTGGGATGAGCAGCTCGCTCATCATATTAGCAGCTGACCCTTTCGTGCTTACACTGCTTACACAAGCTCATGCTGGACTGGAATTCGCGGTCTCTCCTTCCGCAAATCGAAATGAGTCGAATGACCATGAAGGTAACGGTTCGATTCGGTTCGGTTGCGGTTTTGAAACAGCGGTTCAGGTTCATGGGGTTCGGTTTCTCCCGGCGGTTCTTGCGGTTCGATTTGTGGTTCCTGGCGGTTCATCTGCCGTTCAAGCGAGCTGCCGGCGAGCAGCTGCGGCGCCTCCGGCTGGGCCGGTGGGGGCCAGACGCGGGGGAGTCCAGGGTTTTGCGCTTTTGGGCCTTAATAAGTCGGCCCTGGGTTCCCCCCGCACGGCCGGCCGGTCGGGCAACCCAAGAACCCCAAACCCTCGTCTTGAGGCTCGATTTTAGATGCAGTGTCTTACTGTGGCAGAACCTTCCCAGAGGGCCCCAGTAGTCCCTAACCCGGATGCTCTTGACGCTCGCTTTTGGATGCTCCTGCATGCTGTTTGTTGAACTAACCTGGCCAGGCCTCTAACAAGGTAAGCCGAGGCCAAATCAAACAAAATCCGAATGCTCTGGATACTCATGCTTGGATGCTCTGGAATATGGTTTTAACCTTTCAGAGGATCCCATAACCCGGACGCTCTCGATGCTGGATTTTGAATGCTCTTGAATGCTGTTGTTCAAGCAGATCCAAACACGTCTCCGGCCTGTAAATAACTGTAAGTGATAGAAGAATGGATTTTCTCCCAGAAGAAGGACAGAAGGCTCCATGCCTCTAACAACTTGACGGTTCGGTTCGGCACTTTCGCGGTTCGCGGTTCCTAAGCCGGCATTGCGGTGCCAGCGGTTCGTGAGGAATCGGTTCCGGTTGGTTCCCGGTTCGGTTCTTTATCTTTCATGAATGACATCGTTGACTTGTATTATCACCCTTACTGAGTCACCTGCCAGCCCTTCCTCTTGCGATCCAGCTGAGAGAAGCGTGAGCCGTCCGGAGTCTGGGAATCGCTGAGGTTCCAAGATGATGGGCCCCCTCCAGGCCGTCTTGTGCTCACAGTTCTCTGCTGCAGTGGGGCAATCTACATGCAAGCCGCACTGGTGGTTCACAAGCCTGGAGAGTCGCCTGTCCGTCAGGCAGCGAGATCCCTGTGATGCTTGACACCGGTATGAATACGGAGGCCTAAACCGGCTCGAATCTCTCTGCGTTCCCAAGCTGTCGCTAGTAGCTCGGCGAAACGAGAACACTTTCTGGGGCCATCGGTCGTCCAAACTGCTTGGAGCCAGGAGACCGCAGAAGACGTGGTGAGTTTGCAGCGGAGCTGCGAGGAGGGTCCTTGTTCTGGGCATACGATGGGACGTCGGACATCACAAAAGCATGTGCGTGACAGGAGTTGCAATCGCGGCTCTCCACAGCTGAGGTGCGTGGTAGGTTGTTGCGAGTCCCGAATGTTCACAAATTCGCCCGTTCAGAGTGGGTAAGCTTCTGAAAAGCCTGCAGGTCCCGCTAGCTTCTTTAAGATTTAACATGCTCTGCTACAGGTGGAGGCAGTTCGCCTGCAGGGCGACGTCACCCACCTCGAGGCCACTTTCAGACGAAATCATGGCCTCGCCTCACCTAGCATTTCTCACTTTGGGCTCCTTTGCTTGGGAAACACATCGAGTCTCTCCGAGTCTTGCCGCCTCTGCCTCCGCATCCCCGCATGCCTTGGCCCCGCACGTGCAGGAGCAGCTCTGTGAGGCGGTGGAGGCGCCGCTTCCGCTTCCGCTTTCCTCTCCACTCATCGTCTCTGCTTTCTGGTGGGAGAGAGATGTACATTTGTTGACGCTCTTCGTGCGGCGGCTCAGGAGACTCGCACCGCGAAGGCCTTGTTGGGACGAGGGGGAGGGAGCGGGTGGCTTCTCGTCCGAGCCTGCCAGGGCCACCTCACGGAGGCCCTGGAGCAGCTCACCGAGGCCCAAAGCTCTGAGGCCGGGGCTCAAAGAGCCAGAGAGCGAGCTTTCGACTCTTTGCGTCTTCTTGGAGGCCCTGCTTCAAGGAGCCTACGAGAAGCTTCAAGAGGACCTTGCAACACTATGCACTGGGACAAGCACATGGAAAGCTCTTACGATCTTTTACATATGTTTTGTGAAAGAGAGTCCCCAATTATTCTTCTGTGAGGAGCACGAGCTTGAGATCAAGCTCCACGAAGACGCGAGACACGAGGCCGTTGCAGCAAGAACAGAGTCCGCAAAGCTATGTTTGAAGTGTCGTCCTTTGACGTGTGTTGGAGTCACGTGGATTGCAGGTGTCCCGGCTTCAGTCGGAGGTGATGCGGTATCGGTCTGCAGACATTGCATCGCAGGACAGCTTTGGGCTGTTTTGCGAGCATGAGCATCCAAGATCCTGGTCTAGAGGAGAAGAAGGCTTTTCACAGCCGCCGTCCTTCGAGAAGGCCTCTCAATGCCGGCGCCCCTGGAAGTCCTTGTTTCACTGGGTTCGATCCCCTTTCTGTTGCAAGCGGCGAACCAATGACGTGCGCATCCTCTTTCGCACACGCTTGACAGGGTCTTGACCCGTCCGTTGTCCCAGGACAGCAGGCCACCCTCATCGCCGCTGCCGCTGCTTGCCGGCTCCTCCGTTAGCGCGAGCCTCAAGCTTTCTGCGGGAGTCATGTATAGTCGATGCAGTCGCACCTGCTCTGAGCTTTGTCTGTGTTTGTCACGGCTGTAGTGAGTTGAGAGCAGAGCGGCTGCCCTTTTGGATGGGTCCTGGTAGGCTTCGGCTGTGCAGCTGGTAGAGAACACCCCCATCAACCGTTCAAAGTGCAGAAAGAGCAAAGCGGCCGAGTCGTGGATGGCCTTTCACAAGGCCCACACAGCAGAGTGTACAGCATTTTCCATATAAGCGCCTATTCTAAGATCGCACATCCTCAAATCCATCTCAACTCCAAATCCGAAGCTCCGAAGCTCCGAAGCCCCGAAGCGCTAAGGCTTTTCCGACGCAGCTGCAGCACTGCGCGAGGTGGAGCCGAGGTCTCAGAAATCCCAAAGATGTCGAGGAATGTTGGTAGATTCATCGGACATCTGCTGCTGCCTTGCTCTGAACCGTGCTGCATGCGCAGACATGTGGTGCGTAGGCGATGCAAAGCGCATCTCTGACAGATTTTACGGAAAGGGGGTGGTACTGTCGGCCGCAAGCTCAGGTCTCCAGGCTTCGCGCTCCCCAACCGCCGCAAGGCGATGCAGGCGCAGCACAGGGAAACACAGCGCAAGGCCCGACAGCAGTCGGCGGAGCTCACGTTTTGCAGGTTTCAACCTCCTTGCCTTCCTTGCAGCGGAGCGGTGCCGAATCTCAAGGCTTGAAGTGGATGCCCAAGAGACATCTCTTCGCGTCTGCACCGATTCGCAAGGCCAGAGCTCCCTGCTAGCAGCTCCGCGCAGCAAGAGGCCGGGAAAGCTCAGCCTCGCTGGCAAGTTACTGCTCTTGGGTCCTTTGGATCCCTTTTTTTCGAAGTTTATGCTGCAAGCGGTTTGTGGTCGGACAAGATCGAAGAGTCAGAAATTCTACCCCCAACGGCCCCGAACCTCGAAGCTGCTCCACAGGCCATTCGTGCTCTGAGCCCACTGCAAAGTGGATTTAAAGCGAGTTCGCTCTTCGCCGGGGCCGAGCCGGGCAGTTCTTGGTGCTGAACGGGGTGTGGGGTTCAGTTGAGCTATTTTATGACGATCTACGACGGAAGCACTGGATTTATTTAGCTCAGGTTAAACGAAGCACATTAGGTTTCTAGCCGCTGTCATACCGAGACATGAAGTCTTCAGTTCTCAATAGCAACATTAGGGATGTATGTGGACTGGGTACAGCCATTCACTATGGCGCTGTCGACGGCAGCAAGGACCTACTGTACGTCAAGCGGGGTTCTCAAGGAGTTCCTGTGTAGAGGGGGTCTAGGGATTGGATGCACCTTCTACACCACAGCGCAACACGCATGCAGCTTTGGGGCTATTGCTGGGTTGATTCGGGTGGCAAACACTGGTCGTTTGTTGAGGGTTCGCACATAAGGAAAGTGCACCAGTCCAAAACGAGGTAAGGGTTCCTTCGTGTTGCAGTCGGTGCTGGCACGTGCCAGGTTTATCTTCTCCTTGTCTTGCAGTTTGCGGGATCCCGGTTGTTGAGACCCTTTGTGGCAGAATAGTGTTGCTGATTTTTTTTTGCTTTTTTGGGGGTCCAGCCCCAGACGGGATTCCAGACTATCGCCGCTGTTTCAAGACGTCGTGCACCACTAAGTGCTGTGCACTCTTGATCAGCCTGTGCCGGTAAGAAGGGCTGGTTAGACGTCTACAGACACAAAGCCGACCTTCAGAACTTTTTGTTGTGCTTGAGAGTCGGGCCGGAAGCAAGATATCAAGCGTACAGCACTGAACGTCTTCAAAGTGGTCCAATAGGCCTTTTCTCGCCGGCCCTTCTTACCAGAGTCGTGCAAGCATGCATCGGCATGTGCACGTCACTCACTCACGTCAAGAATCAGGATACTCCGTACCTGTGACAGAGGTTATTCTCCTTTCCGGGCGAGTTCTTGGAGCGCAGAAACCTTGCCGTCGTCGATTTTTATCCTGAAGAGTCATGCCGGGACACGTGACACTGTAAGGCGTCTCCAGGGGCCCTCTGAAGTGGTGGCGAAACTGCCCCTGGCAAAGGCCCCCTGCTCGCCCGTGACCGCTCCTGCGCCCATGAGATGTCATCCAGCAAGCTGACCACAAAGTGCCCGGAGAACACCCTTCGGATCAAGCCCGGGGTCCTGAGTGATATTCCGCTGCGCGCTGGATGAGTCGTGTCACTGCCCAGTCAAACTTGGCGAGTTCACGCTAAGAATAGACTTCTTCTTGCGGCGCAGCACTGAGACGGCCGACTAGCCACAGCTCTAGATGGTACTTCGCATCGCGAGTTCAACACTTGCCAGTGAGGGCAATTTCTTGAACAAATCATCTGCCCTAGCTGCGCCGCTTTGTTCACAGCTCGGTCTGAGAGGGCGATCCAGGACCATGCACCTGTGCAGAGTGGTGACTCTCTGCTCGGCCAGGGTACCACGGTCCTGGGAAGGCTCTGCTTAAAAGACTGGGACCGGTGACTCAGCCGTCGAAGATGGTTGACGTGAGATGACTCATCCTCTCTGGACAAAGTGAGGGCCGCCATTCTGGCAAGCTCCACCTCCAGCTTGTCCAAGCCCGAAACCACTCATTTTGGACCGCGCCTTTGCTCCTGTTCTTTTGCGAGGAGGAGGATGTGGAGATGACGGAAGAAGCCAAGGAACCCAGCTGCGATCCTTGTGGTGAACTTCTTCCTGCTACGTCAGAATTTGTGCTGAATCGAGCCGCAATACCCTGTCTTTGCCCGAGTGTAGCTTTGCCGTGAACAAACGTTGTACCTCCACGGCAGCATGCGGCAGGAGCTTCTAACGAAGATCGGCACGGAGAGTACGCTACGGCGCGAATCTCAGTTTTGAAGCAGTGGCAAAGAGTCGCAGGACTGCAGCTAAGCGCCATGCTTTGGCGATGTCTGCTGTGCTGAGGTATGCAATCCACTTAATCACCTGCTCCAATCTCGTGGCCATGAAGCGAAAGGCTTCACTGAAACGACTCGCAGGAAACAACATGAACGCTTCCGGGCATTGGCTTTTCAGTTGCGGAAGCCGTTGTGAGAAAGCAGGGCAGGGCGTAGCGCTGGGATCTTGCATGTGCGGCTGGCAGTTCTAGATTCTAGCGGTGGCATTCAGGTTTGCCTGCTGGAACTGTTCAAGCATGTCCAAGCCCAGCGCACAGCTCGTTCTCGCGTGAGGCACAGGAGGTTGATGTCCAGGACATCCGCAAGGTAGGATCTCCTGCTGGTTCTTGTCCTTTTGATGGCTCCAAATTCGACGCCGCAATGCCAGTGTCGAAGGTCTACTCGCTCTTTGTGGATGTCAAGCGGTCTACGCAGTTCCTCATGGAGTGCCCTGTGCAATGCAAGGCATGGAGTGTTGCGGCGGTTGAGTCACCCGTTCCTGTTGTGCCAGGTATCAGCAAGAGTTCATGTTCTCCGAGGTGCACGAAGAGGAGGCCAATCCTTTCCCCAGCTCCTGCTTCAGTGCCAAACAAAGACGCGGATACGGGGGTCATGGTTGGCATCGAGCAAGGGAGTGAAGGGGTCTCTGCAAGCTGTGAAGAATGGAACTTACCTCGCCTCTCGTTTCATGATCGGATGAGTTTTGGAGCTTTTTCTTTTGCGCCCCGGTTTTGAGAAGCTTGGCCAGGATGCCGAGATGCCTCAGGCGAAGGCAAGCACTTTCTGCCTGAAAGCCCTGTGAGAAATCTGTCTGAAGCCGGTTGTGGCCCAGCAAGCATTTTTTGCCAGTGATAAAGTGTGGGAGTGCGGCAGAGGGCTTTTGGCAGGAGACTTGACCGCGCTGCAGCCCGAGGACATGCATTCCTTAGATCAAATTGACATGCTTGCCTTTGTCCTGCTTGCTGGGTTGGTGTGTAGGACCTGTCACCCGCCGCCGCGCCTTGCGCTTGCATGACCCGATGAACATAAACATTGCATGACTGCATTTGATAAAACAGCTACGAGAACTGCTGCTTTGGTTTGAGCATCGCAGAAGATCTGTTCCTTCCTGTGGAATCGACCGCCGATGGGATCTGCGTGTCTTCAGACGTGGAACGATGCCGAGTGGGCAGCTGCTGAGCCTCCTCGTATCTTCGGGCTCGAGATTAGTAGCATTAGGATCTGGGCCTGCGACATGAAGCAAGGAAAGCAGAGCGCCTGGATTCAGATACCACAGCCCGCGTTTGATGCAATCTTGTAAAGAACACATCGTCTCATCGCAGACATCTAAGCAGCCTCCTACCTCCTGCATGAACCTAGAAGTGGTTTCCTCCTGACCTTGCTGGCATGCCTTTGCACAGGCCGGCGCATCAGAGATGAGTAGCAGGGGCATCACTGGTGTGGGTGGTCTCGTTGGCCCTGTCAAGAGAGTCTCATTACATTACAAGGGTCCCGTCTGTCGATCTGCTGCGTCGGCATTCTTGTGGGGGTGCCTTGGCAAGCATTCCAACCCTGCAGCTTGAATGCTTGCTTCTGTGTCTCCGCCAGGCCGGCATCAGACACCACCCTTCATCAGCCGGGAAGAGCCGACGACCCAGAGCTGGGGCAATCACCGCAACCTGCTCCAACGGAATAAGCGAGCAACACGAATGCGAGCTGCCAAGCTGAGTTGGCGCAAACATGTGAATGCCGTGGAATGCAGGGGCGTCTGACCTGCGCTGGGTCGGTCGCCGTCCGGGATTTCAACAAGGACCAAGGGTGTCATTGCTTCCGGAATGGTTCCAAAGACAGCAAGCTTGACAAACATGCCGAACTGCTGTTTACCAGATACGTTGATGCGGTTCAGCAGAGGCCACCTGTCACGTGCCGCATTGGAAGCGGATCATCTCATGCGCCCGCTGAGTCCAAGAGCTCAACAAGAAGCCATCCGAAGCTTTGGTCAGGACCGCCTTGCTGCACAAGACTTGGCTCGGCGCACTGACCGGCTGGAGGCACTGAAGGCGCACGGTGCGCAGGGGCGGCCCAGGGGCTTCAGAACTCAGAGGCTTCACTTGGCGAGCCAGCCTTGAGCCTTGGCATCTCGACTTCGGGGATCAAAGCCTCCGAGCCTGCATCGAGTAAAGAAAGGTGACGTGGATTGACATGGCGATGGCGATGATGAAAACACAGTCGAAAAGACACATACGCTTGAATGTTAAGAGATGTGACATGAAGAAGGCGAAGAATGACGAGTAGATCAGAGCCGTACTCTGGTCGCTTTGGCCTTCAAACTGTCAAGATGTGAGATGTGACTCTTCTTCGAGTAGGCCTTGAGTGATTGTTTTGTTATGCGCCCTTCATTCGTGAAGTGGCAGAGCCCTGGTACGCACAATAGCTGTGTGCTGCCAATTGTGCAGCCGGCGACGCAAATCCCTGACCGAGTTCCCTGTCGCGACGTTTGGACTCCCCTGACTGGGGCACAAGCAACCCACCACCACTACCACCACCAGAGCAGCCATAAAGAGAACGGAGTGAGAACGAAGGACATTGCGAGCAGCTTTTAGGTCCATCCCTCGCTTTAGAAACCTCTCTGGGGAGGCGAGGAGAAGGCCCAGCGCGCTCACGGCAGCGATCCAGGCCATGAGCCGCGGCTAGAGAGTGTGGACCCGGGCCTGCATCTGCTCTTTTGCCACGGCCCGCTTGCTGCAGTAATACTTTTAGATCGACTCAAAGCCCCAAGCGTTCTGGGTGTTGTTCTGTCTCGCATGCGCCAGAGCGCGGCTGGCCCACCTCTAGTGCGAGCACCTCGGCGGCTTTCAACTTCTTCGAGGCGTGGCGGTCTCGCGATGTCAGATCGTGTGTGCGTTTGCCTAGCCGCCTGGCCAGTCTGCATATGTCTGCATGATGCCGGCGAAACGTATCTGAGTGTGTCTCCGTCCTGTTTCGCTCTCGAGGGCGAAGCCGCCACCATCTGGCAAGTCGGAGGACAAAATCCTAGTTTCAAGAGCGGCGCTGGCAGTAGTTCGGTGAATCTTGAGAGCCACGGACCCCAAGTGCCTTTCATGGGGTGTTCAAGAACAAGCCCGTGGTTCTCTGTCCTACGAACTCGCGAGCCCAAGCTTCACATGCACGAGCCCTCGTACAGGAGTGGCACAGGTCCAGAGTCCATGCCCTCTTCAAGGAGCTGGATCCGCAAGACCTCGGCGAGGTGCCCATAGAGCATCGAAGACTTGGTTTGGGTTTCAGTCCTCATCGCGGAGTGGCAGAGTAGCAGACTACCCAGGCAGATCTCAAGCAGATGACAAATGCCAGGTCAGTGTGGACGATCTGCAGGCATCCTTTGCCAAAATGTCAGCTGCCTCAGTCCGCTCATGGCCTTTCCGGATTGTCGCGCCTTGTTCGGCTCCTCGCTTGCCGCAGACATGCTGATGGTCTTGAAGACATACAGGCTTTTCGTCCATCGATGCGAGGACACTTGCATGGCTCCACGTTGACCATGCATCGTTCGACTTGCCGTGCCGTCTAAGGAACATGGCCCTGGATGATGAGACCTTTGCAAAGTACAAAAGTCAGCCGGCCACGGCATGGTTGACATCTGGAATGCTTTGCGATATGTTCTTCATTTGCCGCATGGGGTGAAATTCTGTTCACTCCTGGGTTGCATTGTTCTTCGCAGATGCTTCTACCCTCGTGCATTATGAAAATATCTGCTTGTGAGGATTAAGCTGAGAGAGCGTTGCGGCAAACTTGTGCGAGATGAGCTTTCTGCCAGGATTCTTCCGAAGGGCGCAGGGCTCAGATTTCCGAAACTGAGGCCAGCAGGTAGCAGTTTGCTTTTGAAGATGCTCAACCCTTGCCCACGAGAGCGATGTCCCACATCGTCAACTGCGCTTGAAAGTGCGCCGCTGCTGCTCCAGCAGTAGTTGGGGACGAATCGTCGGTTTGCTAAGGTAGCGACAGCGTTGCCCTGGAAGCCTTCTTGAAGTTTCACCAGGTCCGACTGTTTTGTGAGAGGTACTGGTAGCAGCAGTCGGCTTGACGTGTGCGGTCTAAAAGTTTACGAGGACTTGTTCGCTGGCCAGCTGAGAGAAATTCAGCAGGCAGTCTGGGACAATCAGCCGCCTTCGGTGCGCCGCTTTGCTGGCTGCCCAGAGGCTCGCCGGGATGTTTCTGTAAGAAATGACTAGCTCTGTAACTCAGTCCAAAAATCTATTGAATCTTCTGTGTTTCGTATCGCAGCAAGTTGCCATCCGTTCTTTGTGCAAGCTCTCATGACTGTCAACATTGTGCTATGAGGCTTGTACTGATCCTGATCCTTCCTACCCTTGCTCTTGTCCCTGACTGAAGTGTTCAGGCGGGTGGAGACAGCACTGGGTCGTACCGGCCTCGGCAAGTCGTTGTCGTGCCTTCCCAATCAAGAACGTATGCCTGGAACAGAAACAGCCTCCTGATTATTTCACACGGCACGAAGAGTGTAACAGGGACAACAGACCCTAGTAGCATGGATAGAAGCAGGAAGAAGATTGGCGAAAGCGATGCCAACAGCGGCAGAGAAGAAGAACGGGAAGCTTTGCAACCTTTGCTCTAGTGACCTGGTACGCCCAGCCATCGACTCGTGGGCTCTGAGATTTTGTTCTTCAGAGCCCCAAGGCTTCACGTTGGCCTCTCGCCACTGTCCAAATCCAAGCAGCCTGGCGCTGAGAGCATGGAACGCAGGTGGAGTCATGCTATTACCGATGAGCCTTGCAGAATGTACGTGTTTGCTCAAGGCAAGAAGTGGTAAGTAGTTTGACACTCTTGATGTTCAGGGGCTCAATGCGACAGCTCCCGTCAGCACCTCAAGTTGGCCTGGCCTAATCATGTGATGTCACATGGTGGAAGACTGAATCCCCTGACCGGGCCCACAATCACGGTTCTATGACAGGTGCTTGCATCTGATAAGCCCATGCGTGCAGCTGTTGCCACGTCAACTTCTACGAGACTTGCAGGAGCTTGAAGCTGCCAGGGCCAAGCAAAGGCCTTTACAAGGAGGCCTTGGAGAACGAGGCGGGGGCACTCTTTCGACACGACTACCAGTAGCTCAATGCTTCGTGTGCACGGGGAGTGCCAGTTTTGCGCCAGGACGCGCTCAGAGCAGCATTCTACAGGCAAGACCCTTGAGCCAGTGCATTCACATTTCATGCACTACGCAAGAGAGCGATGTGCTTTCATGGAGAGTGAGGTTGGTTTCCAACGGACCTAAGCACTTTTGCGGACATACACGGCTGCGGGTTACTGGGCCTGGGTCCCTTGGTAATTCCGGCCCAGGTACACGAACGGACAACTCTACCTGAGCCGTTGGGTCCTTGATGTCCTTGGACGTTGCTTGCAAGACTTCAATGTTCCAAGCAGCCTGTAGAAGCGCGCTTTGAGGAAGCCAGATGCCATCCGTTCTGAAGGATGCTGGGCTTATAAAATATTTGTCGGTTTTCGCATGATTGTTTTCAGGGCATGGCGTACTGCTGCCAGTCGTCACGTTTCTTCACAAGCGTGCTTCTAAGCCAGAATGTGCAGATGCGATCCCAAGGACCTGGGCATCACGCTCCCTTCAGCTCAGTCTACACAGTTGGACAAAGATTTCTTCTCCACGCCCGTCGACCCAGATGGAGCTTTTCACATCTTTGGCAAGGGCCTGCCAAGAAAGCATGCGCAGATATACTGGGGCAGGGCACACTTGGGCCTTGGCAGCTGCCGAGGTTCTGTGATCATGAGTTTGACAGTGCCGACGAAAACAAAGACGGGAAGGCCCAATTGTGTCGGACGAGTTTGTAAAAGCATTGTCGGTACTGGCACCAGAAGTGGAAATGGACAGTGCCTGGCTGATGATGCCAGGTATCTTTCCAGGAGTGTGTGGCCTACCAAAACCGGTATCTCTCCATGATGCAGGCAGGGGTCGGACACGGATGCATCTTCCACTTGTGTTTGAGCAGCCAGGCCACCTCCCTGGGCATCATCAAGTCTTTCAGGCAGAGTGTTGCGGTGCCTGGAGGGTTGTGGGGCAGCTTTGAGGGTTTTCCACGCACCTGGACTCCTGTGCCGCCACGCCTTGGTTGAGACACTCCAACTTAAAGCCTGTGCACCCAGAACTGGAGCCTCATTCGAAGGACTTCGGTGGTCAACAATACGACCCCGACGTCGGGAGGGCATCGGTGATGCAGCGCTGGGTTAAGCTTTTCCCGGCAAGTGCAAGAGAATCTCTTGCGGTGGTCAGCCGGATGGTTCGCAGTAAATTGGACGAGGTGACGCGTTCTGCGCTTCGTCCAACAGACCTCTCTTGCGCAACGTGCAGACTGTTTCACCTGTCGGAGGCTTTATGTTGGTGCGTTGTAACATTACGGAGATGCGGATGACACAAAGAGAGGATGTCGCATGCAACCGCAGGTTTCCTGCGTGGGGTGTCTGGAAAGCTGGAGCCAAGTTTGCAACAGAAGAGTGCGGTGGCAGGATTGGGGGTCACCCCTGCGATCTTCGTAGTCATCCGCCATCCAGTCGTAGTTTCACCGCTCAGATACCAAGTCTGGTTTCAGAATTGAAGCCACCCGCGGATGCTAAACCCGGTCTCATAGAGAAACATGGAACCGTCATGCAGGGGCGCATGCGGCTGGATCGATATAGCGAGACTGTTATTGATCTCAAGCAGCACTGTTCTATGATGCATTTGCATTCGAGATGATGAACATGCCCAGCACAGAAATCAGAAACCTCTTTCCTTGCTTCTCGCTGGCGCTTTAGCACAAGAAGCAGGACCAAATTTGAGGTCCGCATCTAAACTTGTGATGCGCAGGTGCTGTTTGGATAGGTGAAGCGGTACAGCCTGGATTCCTGGATCTTCAACTCGTCAACACTGCACCGCAAAACCACGTACGTGGCTGCAATCTAGCTACACCATCAGGCTTGGCCTGGATCGCCAGCGGCGTCTCTACCCACCCAGTTCTGAAGCCTGGCCTCCATGTTCAACTCGGACACTGCAGGCAGAATTCTATCACAAAGCATATTCTCACGCCATGGCGCCCTGCTTCTGCCCATGGGCAGCGAATGAAGCGCCGACGGAGTGTGGCATCTGCCCAAGCGCCCACACAGTTGCCATCTGGCGTGCAAGTGGATCCTCGCCGGGCTATCTGTTGATTGACGACGGTCTTGCTGGTGATCACTTCTGGAGACGTGTTCGAGTGTTCGATTCAAAGTCTGTCCGAGTTCGTCCCCGAACTTGCACCTTTGCATAGTAATAATACTAAAACTCATAGACTGGAGCTCCGTGGCCTGGAGGTCCATGGAGCTGAACGACGCGGTGCTGCGGACTCGCCGGGCCTTCGAAGCCCTGGCGGAGCGCTGGCCAGCGCCCGCGCACCCCCTGGCCCAGGCGGGAGATGACCGCAAGAAAGGGGGTTCTAGGCCCTAGGCCCTTCTTTTTTGGGTGGGGGGGGGGGGGGGNNGGGGGGGGGGCACGCTTGACTGACAGAGCTGCACTCTTGTCTTCTTGTGGCGGTGGGTCATTTTGTGTGTGTGTGTGTGCGAGGCGATCAAGGAGATCCTGAATGATGAGGAAGGGCTGTCGGAGGAGGGCTTGAGACACTTGGCTTGACCTTGGCACCTGCACTTCAGGAAACAGCAGGGCGCTGGGAGATGTGCGCGCAAACCAAGGCTGGAGCAAGGAAGTTGGCCTGGCGTTTGTCCTACCTCGAGCAGCCCTTCAATGTGTCCCTCTCGCGGCCAACGAGCCCAGAGACGGCGGGGTGACACATACAGGGGATGTTCTGTCCTCGTTAAGGTTCAGGTGGACATGACGAAAGGGCCACAAGATCGCAATAGCTGGGAGTGAAAGTCAAGATGATTTTTTATTTTCAGGTTGTACGCGTTCTGCGAGGCTCTTTATTCGGCTGTATGCTGTAACTTCGATATGCTACCCGTAAGTGTGCTTTGCAAGGGTTTGAACAGTATGCCCTTTGGGCATGGGGCTTAGCGGTGCTTGTCAAACCGGATAAGACCTGTTCTTCAGAAGGTTGCAGAAATGCTGGAGCTTGCGCACATGGTGCAGAGAGAGATTAGCATTAGCCATATGACGAAACGATGTCTCCAACAGAATGCACTAGACACTGTTGAACTGTGCGTCTTGACAGCAAGCAGCGAGTGAATTGAAGTCACCCGCGAAAGTGTGACAGTAGTACCAGGATCACGTGCCTGTCAGCTCTTTTTTTGTATCCACTGGCAGGGCTGCATCGCACCGCTACTTTCGCCTCTCGGATGCATCCCATTTCACATGCACGGAATGGCATATCGCCCACGAATCTTGTCCGTGTGCTGGGTTGGTTTCACTTGCATCGCTAGCTTGATGCAAAGCTTCCGAAAGGTCCGCATCCCGGATGCATCGTCCAAGCTGGTCGTCGCACCTGCCGGTCCTTGTGGCTTCGGGGTGTATGCAGCTTGACCGAATGTCTCGGACCTCATCCATGTGCCAGCCGGTAATCGCGACGATGGGCCGTAACCTCATGGTGCTTGTGCAGCCGCGCTATGTAAGCATGCTGGAAACCGCAAACCCATGCCTCAGTTTTTCAATACGGGTAAGTTGTCTGCTGCTTTTCGAGGGATAGTTGCGTTGCACGCTGCAGGCTTTGCACTTCGCACGTTCACTGCTCGTCTGAGTGTGCTTGCCGTTCTCGTATGTTCACGTTCTTTCTGTTTCATCGTATGCTCGAGCAGAAGACTGGGATCGAGTCGTAAGTGTGGGCAGACCTGGGCAGTGAGCACGTGTTGAAAACCGAAGCTTGTCAGAGCTGCCGTGGCCTTCATCTGGCTTGCTCTCTCGAGGTTTCAGTCGAGCTACATCATGGTTTCTAAAGGTTTCCTGTGAGCCTCATACCGCCGGTTGGATTGACCTTGAATTGCGATTTGTTGTGAATCTCGGCAGTGTCAACGACACAACATGATCATGAGCCGACGTCGGCCCTGCATCGAGTTAGTTTATGGTCGTGTTTTTGTCGGGTAAGCTGCATGCAGTCGGGCAATGCGGCGAATAGCTCAGCGAGGTAAAGGTGTAAAGACAAGGGTTGCGTGATAGCCTCGCAGTCTCAGAGTTGGGTTCGTCGGAGAGCCGAGCAGTAGGTGGCAAAAAGTGTGGTGCTAGCTCCGAGCAATGCAACGTTTGCTGACTTCTGACGTATGCATTCAGTGCAGATCGCGCAAGCCGTCGACAACGAAGCCCACCCTTCGCAGGTCAGGAAAGGATCCAATGATAAAGACTGCGAATGCAACATGAACAGGTAGCCACGGTCTTCGGGTCTTTCTCTTGAGTGAGAAGCCTGGCCGGAAGGACCTTCCTTAAAGGAACCTTACCTTTCGGCAGGCTTCCCGAGTGAAGCTGTCAGGCCCTACCATACGTTGCTGCAACAGTGGCCCGAAAACGACGGGCTCCACGCATCGTTCTGCAAGCTGCTGCGATCAAAGTGACAATCATGCTTCGAGGCTACAGCGAGAATCTCTTCCGGCGAGCGGCTTGGCCGCTTGGTGTGAGACTAGCGAGAGCCAAGAAAGGTAGCAGATAACGTGCATCTGCAGATTTCCAGAGAGAGTGCACCAAATCCCAGAAAGAGGGGCTTCGTTCCTCACGCGAAGCGCGACATCCCCGAGGAGAGTACACCGGAGAAATCCGACGCTACGATATTTGGTGCGACGAAATCAAGGCTGCGTAGAGCCGTTGGTGATGTGTTGGCTCTTTCCGGGTGTCCCTGGGAGGCGCTCAAAGTGAAGCGCCGAAATTCCGATGCCTCCTCGCCCTTCATCCGCGAGGCATTGCAGGGCTCTGCAGGGTACCTGCAGGGCACAGCATGGCTCTGATCTTCGGCTTCTCAGGAGCTCTACGCTGCCTGGGCAGGCCCACCTGTGGCTAAGGGCCGTGGTCTTGCACGTTCTGTCACTCGAATTTCTCAGATGCGCAGGCTCGGGACCCGCTGAAAAAGGTGTGGTTATTGACGCCTACCACAAAGGCAACCTCATGCGCACCTGGTTTGCGAGTATGCTTCTTCTATCAGTTCATGTGCTTGCCTGCTGCTTTGTGCGTTGGACATGTTATGCCATGAGAGCTCAGGTTTCATCAACTGCAGCTGCAAGCCAAACTGCAGCTTTAAGAGTGCAGCTCGACGGCGAGTGAGTGCACTTGTCAAACCTGATAAAGCTTCCTAACTTCAGCTAGGTAAGCGCTCAAGGAGAGCCTCACGGCCGGCTGCAGGTAGATGCCTGGTCGCAGTCAGACTGTCGCCACGAACCTTAAGCGCTCCTTGTGTAATCCCTCCTCACGAGTCACTTTCCGACCCGACTTTCAGAAACTTTGTCAAACATTTAGTCCCTTCTCGTGTCTTGCGAACTGGGTGACTGCAACGTATGAGCAACCAATCTTCGCAACAGCTGGCACCAACGAAAAAGAAGTGTCCACCTGCCAAGAATGCCTTGCGGGCCATCGAAGTTGGAGAGCAGCTCTCCGTGGACTATGGATTCTCGGATGGATCAGGGATTTTGGCAGGCGCCAAACCCATGGTGTCCTGACTGCAACTAGGTTGGTACCACGACCCTGCAACGTTGGACGATATCCGCAAGGCGGCGCAGGGCAGGGAGTTCGTTTTGCACGTAGAGCTGATCGAAAAGAAGCTGGCCGTGTGCAGAGTGATACGGCAGCAGAGCATGTGCGGGTGTGACCTGTTTGCGTCTACGTAGCAGCCACGTTGCAGCTGGACAATCCACTTCATGTGCATCATGCTTCTTGCATATTCTTGCATGCAGATCCTGCATCTGCAGCTGACCAGGAGGCAGTCGCGGTCTACTCGTCGGATCTGCCACAGCTGCAGGTGGCATGCTTCACCAGACCTGCAGAGTCTGGTCTCTGCCGTCCTTGCACTGTCGGCAGTGCACTGCACTGGCTTTGCACGAACACGGTCAAAACCACCTGGAGATGAACAACAACAAGTCCACGATCTTCAATTTGTTCAGGGAGCAAGCTGAGCCCTTCCGAACAGAAGCGCTCGCCGTTCAGCTTTCAGGCCCTGCAGCTCCCGGAACCTGTGATTGGCGACGATGCCTCCGAAGCAGTGCAGCTAGTGGCCGAAGCCCTCAAGGCAGGCATCCAAAAAGTTCTTGGACGGATGAAGAACAACAACTTTCAGATTTGTCTTCTCTTTAGTTGTGTCACGGGCAGATGTCTGCATGTACCACGCGCACACACACACACACACATGTCGTCTCACTAAAGGCATACCCGATATTCGTTTGCAAGCTTGCTGCACCCGAACCTTGAACGGGCATGGTTTAACTCTTTACACTGAATCCCGCGATTTTGCCCTGCAGGAAGCTCGTGGCCGCCCCGGCTTGCGCAGGCCGCCTGTTGGGTTGGAACTCACCACGTCATTTTGCCAGCAACTGTGTAGCTGAATACATGCTTGTCTCCACCCCATTTCCGTCAGTGGAACCACGGTGTCCTTGCATATGCTGCAAGCGCTCTCAAAGTATGTGTTCATGGACGACCTGGGTCGTCCTTGAGTCCGTGCGATCATTTCTCTCGACATCACAAAGTGCAGTACCAGGTGTTAGCATCGGCTCTCGGATGTAACAGCATCTTTCGCTCGCCATGCCTTCGTTGCCACGAGAACTTCCACGCACTGGCACCTCCGTGACTTTGTTGGGTCGTCGACCGCTGTCCGGCAGAAGAGGCCAGAGCCCAACACCAGCGGAGTTGTCGCGTTGAAGGATGCCAGCAATGATGGTCCGGAACCGGAAGCAAGTTAGGATGGACCGAACAAAACAAAACCAAATCGGCCCGCCCTAAAGAGCCGCCGGGCCTCGATTTCGGGGCCTTTGTGATTCTCACTTTGCTGTGGGAGGGCCAAGGAGGCCTCAAGCAGGAGTCAGGATTTCTGACTGTTTTTGCCATGGCTTGGGGCAAGTGGGTGATTGCGAAGGTACGTGCCTTAATATTTTGTGCGCTGTTGATGTTGTGGGATCCAGTGTCAAGTGTCGAAGGGCTCGTGAAGCTACGACCGCCGCGGGTCGCATCGACCCCACCAGCTTGCTTTCCCGGTTTCCGCTTACTGCATTTGCTTTTGGCTGCTTTCGTGGAGGGTGTACGCGCGCAAGACTGCACAATCGAATCGCGCCGGGTTTTGGGACTGGTTGAACCCGCTGCCACCTTGTCATCTGAAGCCACCTTGGAGGGCTCGGTGGTCGGGATACGGTCAGAGAGTCGCCCCCTGTGCATGCTCAGCAGTCAGCTGTTGTAGCGCGATTGAAAGGGTCTAAGCCTGTGAAGTCCTCGGGATTGAGCTCAGGCGGCCTCACAACTTCCTGGCAGGGATGCTGGACTCCGAGGCGCTGGCAAGGCGCGATGGTCCGCAGCTGCAGAAACGAGTGCTCGTGGGATACAGCAGACTTCTCTCCCGTCGGCACATAGCTCTCTCGGATGTTCCCTTGGCTTCCCTTGAACCCTTGGTCATTGGTCGTGTGCACAGTTGGCCGGTGCTCTGTGCGATGTCAGTGCGCCGAACTCCTCCTGCCGTTCCTAGCCCACTATAAAATCAGTTGCGTACCTTGACGATGCCAAGTGCAAGTCTTCCGCTGTAGGTTCCTGGAATCTGGCAAGCGCTTCTCGGAAGCCGCCACATACCGCGCGATCCCGGACCCGGCCACTTAGTTCTGAAGTATATCCGAAGGTCAGTAGTTGTCGACACACCGCTTCTGAACTCTACACTCGCTAGGCGCAGGTCAACTCGCACCACTTCGTTTCTTTGCTGTTGCCATATCATCATATCTTTCGTCTGAAGTCAAGTTGTCGGAGTGTTGCGAGGTCTGGCTGCTGTACGAAGTCCTGGGAGCGGAGAGGCACCTATGGATGCATACCGATTCTACAGGAGCCCGTTCAATCAAAACAGAAAGAACATGCCCTGGCTTCAAATCCAGGGACTGTTGTCCATGATGTCAGGGTCGGGATTCCTTGCCGGTGCGGTTCAGATCCGAGCTTCTCGCCTAAAACTAGTTGCTTTGCAGGGAGACCGTAGTGTGAGTTTGCAGACAGCCCATCAGTAGTTGAGTGCAGGGAAGGCCTCGACCCGAGAGACATCGGCAAGTTTCGAGCTTGAGGCCTTAACTCCAGCGGGCGATGCTCAGGCATCATTGGCCGGCCACTGCAGGTGCAGAGAAAGCCTCCAAGTGACCTGAGCAGGCATGAAATGCAGCAGCCTCGCAGGTGAACTTCACCGGGCGCGATGACGGCTGAGCTAGCAGCCATCGTGGCGACTCGCTGCTGCTTCTGAATGTGAGCTTCAGAAGCACTGCGGCCCGCCGCAAGTCAGCATCAATCCCGACGAAAAGTGCGCAGCGTTTCTTCCAATAGGCCATGCTGAGCCGTGCTGCGTGCCTTGTCGGATTCTTGTGTGATCTGTCGGCGGCCAGCTCAAGGAACTCCGTAGCATTTGGAAGCTTGTTTAAGCCACCGTGCCCCACAATGACTGGAGCAGAACAGTGCTGTTGCATAGACTACCGTACGTTGCATGCGTATGTGCATGTATCATGCATCTAATGCACTGATCATTCTAGAGGTCTTGGCCTCGCAAACACGCCTTGTCTTCACTCCAGGCCTTCTCAACACAGAGCCAGAAAGCGTGCCAACAATGCTATGCAGTCAGCCTGTCCTGGCAAAGGAGGTAGCGGGTGAGACTTGAGAGTTGCGAGGGAATGCCGAAGAGGCGTTAAGTCTGCCGTTCGCTGTGTCTCTCGGTAATTTATGCCCCCTACGGCATTTGAAAGTTCGGAAGCACTCATACACTGTAATGAATTGGGAAGACTCGGACACGCAGAACTTCTACAATTCAGATCTTTTGAAGGGATCGGCATGCAAAATTGCTTTAGCTCTACGCGAGTCACTTTCACGACTGCACAACTTTTGTTGAATTTCGAAGCCTTGCCCTAGATGCTTTTCAAGTTGTTTCAGTTGATGATGCTTCACCTTTTATGATACCGTACTCTCTTCAGCATCTCTTGCGGGCATGCCACTTTCTCCGAAAGGCACGGCTTTCAGTCGAAACGCCTGTTTGCCAGGCTTTCTCCGACTGCTTCACGGAGAGGTGCCATCGAGACTTTGGCCCAGGTGTGTTTCGCCTTTTGGCATGTGCCGGAGGCCCGGCGCCTCCTGTCCAGCGCTGCAAAGACCAGCAGAGGTGGCCCGGGCTACACCCGGAGCTCTCCTGCTTGAACGTTTCGGCTCTGGCATGCTCCATCACATGTGGGTAGCACTGGCTATCTGCCTGTAGGTGAATCTTTTGGTTTGCCCGTAACGGAAGATTCAGATCTTTCGGTTGCGGGATTGAGTCCCACCGTCCTCCCCCGTCCTGCCGTGCTGCTGTGAGGTACCGGAGGATGCGAGAAATGCCGCCGGCTGCTGGGCGTGGGCCGAAGTGCCTCTCGGGAAAAGCTTCGCCGGGCCTTCCTGGCCGCACCTCGGAGAGACCAAGACCGGACCCAGCTTTGCTTTGGATTGCTTTGGGGCTTGGGCCTCGAGGGCTTCGGAGGAAGCACAGCAGCCTTTCCACGACAGCTTCACGTGGTGGTTCGGATCGCCTAGTGCGTGGCATGCCTCTACGTCGCGATGCCCAGGCAGCATGGAAGCATCACCCCGATGGTCTCGGCGAGGGCGACTTCGTCGAGCCGGGTGCTCAGCAAGGTCGCAATTCACCCGCGTGGCGTGGATTCCGGGGCATTGGCGTTGGGGCTCATTTGGGTGAGTAGTGCTCCTTGACACCGGTTGTTGCACATCCACCGCTTGCGCGGACGGAACTTATCGACAGCCCTCGGACACTGCTACCAAGGCTGCGTCGCTGCTACGAGCTGTTGCTCGAGAATTGTGACGACTCAGAGTCAGGTGATGGCCTCTGATAACTGGTTGTTTCTACACTTATCTCGCGTTCGCAGGCTTAGCATGGCAGCTTGAACATCGCAGATGCCCCGTTTGAGTCGTGTCATGCCTGCCGCGTGCGCACAGGTCAGGATGAGCTCCCCTGTTCGGGCACGCAGGACATCCTCTGCAACGGGATACAAGAAGCTTGGAAGCTTTTGCCGGAGGAGAAGGAAGAGCCGGTGCAGTCTAAACAAGCTTCGCGACGACGGCCTCTCCAGAGCGGCTCGGCCAGCCCCTCAGCGGCAGGGCAAAAGCAGCGAGCAAGCGAACCTGGCACCGGCAGCGGAGGCGCGCTGGGCCTCCGCGCGAGCTCCAGGCCTTGTTGCGAAGGTCGCTGCACCTGAGCGCCTGGAGGCAGGATTCACGTGACCTATGGCTCCTAACAGGTCCTAACATCGAAGCAGCCGACTTTTCCTTCTTTGCAGCTCAATCCTCGTGCATGGGCCGGCATCATGGAAGGTCCGAGTGGAACTGGCACTCACGGCCTCACCGCTGCCACCCTTCCTTTGGGCTACGGCGGCGACGGCAGGCCTGCGCCGTCAGAATGGCTCGCACAAAGTCCATAGGACGGGCAGGCCGTGCATGACGTTTGGTCGTAGTCGGCGTCGAGTGGTATCGTCGTGCTGGTAGTAGGAGTGGTAGGACAGTAGGAGTAGTGGGAGTAGCACGAGTAGAAGGAGTACAAAGAGTATTAAGAGGAGTGGACGAGCAGGAGGAGTAGGGGGAGTAGGAGGAGTAGGAGGAGTACTAGTAGTAGTATCAGTAGTAGCAGAAGTAATTAGTATTGCTGGTAGTATCAGCAGCGTCAGTAATAGTGTCAGGTAGTAGTAGTAGTAGTAGTAGTAGTAGTAGTAGCAGCAGCAGCAGCAGCGGCAGCAGCAGCAGGAGGAGTAGTAGTAGTAGTAGTGGTAGTGGTAGTGGTAGTGATAGTGGTAGTGGTAGTAGTAGTAGTAGTAGTAGTAGTAGCAGTAGTAGTAGTAGTAGTAGTAG